AAGTGAACGCATAAAACAAATGCAGGTCTGTAATGTTAAAGTCGATGTAAATAAGCGTGCTACCCTTATGTTTCAACCGAGTTTTTCCTTTAACAAATTTTGTGTCTACCAAATTGGGTTGGTTGGGGTGTAATACTAATAATAAGTGTTGCCTTTAATTTAATCAATAAAATAAATTGACTTCATTAATTTTTTTGAACCACCTCTTAAGAAAATCTAAAAAATATGAATGGAATGATAAATCACAAGTACAAACTCATCATATTTTTTGCATTTTAGATAGGATTTATTCAGCAAAATTTAAGGGTGACGTCATCAATTTTTTTAGGAGGGATGAACAAATACATTTTGAACAAAAGTTTACCATGCTTATAATAACTTTAAAATATTCCCAAGATTTCAAAGCATTCGGTTTTGTAATTCCTGATTAAATCGATAAAATAAATTCACGCCTTCATTAATTTTTTTGAGTCACCCTGCATATGCAAATCCAAAAATATGAATGGAATGATAAATCACAAGTACAGACTCATCATATTTTGTACATTTTAGATACGATTTATTCGGCAAACTTTTGAGCTGACGTCATCAGTTTTTTGTAGAAGATAACCAAATATATTTTGACTAAAAATTTATTATGCTCTTTATAACCTTAAAACATCTGCAAGATTTCAAAGCATTCGGTTTTGTAGTTCCTGATTAAATCAATAAAATAAATTTACGCATTCATTAATTTTTTTGAGTCACCCTGTATATGCAAATCGAAAAAATTTGAATGGAATGATAAATCACAAGAAGAGACTCACCATATTTTGTACATTTTAGATAGGATTTATTCAGCAAAATTTTGTGGTGACGTCATAAATTTTTTAGGGCGGACGACCAAATACGTTTTGATCAAAAATTGACCATGCTTATGATAATTTTAAAATATCTTCAAGATTTCGAAGCATTCGGTTTTGTAGTTCCTGAGTAAATCAGTAAAATAAATTTACGCTTTCATTTATTTTCTTGAATCACCCTGTATATGCAAATCCAAAAAATATGAATGGAGTGATAGATCACAAGTACAGACTGATCATATTTTGTACATTTTAGATATGATTTATTCGGCAAATTTTCGAGCTGATGTCATCAAGTTTTTGGAGGGGATAAGCAAATATATTTTGACTAAACATTTATTATGCTCTTTATAACCTTAAAACATCTGCAAGATGTCAGAGCATTCCGTTTTGTAGTTCCTGATTAAATCAATAAAATATATTTACGCATTCATTAATTTTTTTGAGTCACTCTGTATATGCAAATCCAAAAAATATGAATGGAGTGATAAATGACAAGTACAGGCTCATCATATTTTGTACATTTTAGATATGATTTATTCGGCAAACTTTCGAGCTGACGTCATCAAGTTTTTGGAGGGGATAAGCAAATATATTTTGACTAAACATTTATTATGCTCTTTATGACCTTAAAACATCTGCAAGATTTCAGAGCATTCGGTTTTGTAGTTCCTGATTAAATCAATAAAATATATTTACGCATTCATTAATTTTTTTGAGTCACCCTATATATGCAAATCCAAAAAATATGAATGGAGTGATAGATCACAAGTACAGACTCATCATATTTTGTACATTTTAGATATGATTTATTCCACAAACTTTTGAGCTGACGTCATCAAGTTTTTGGAGGGGATAAGCAAATATTTTTTGACTAAAGATTTATGATGCTCTTTATAGCCTTAAAACATCTGCAACATTTCAAAGCATTCTGGTTAGCAGATTAAAAATTAAATTGTAATTTACAAAATTTCACAACAATCGGTCGAGTACTTTCGGAGATTATCTGTCTAATAAAAATCTGGGACGGCAGACGGACAGACGGACAGACGGACAGACGGACGGACAGACGGACGGACAGACGGACGGACAGACGGACGGACAGACGGACAGACGGACAGACGGACAGACAGACGAAAATGGGAGACCTATTTCTTCGTCTTCTAGGGGTCATGAAAGATCGAGAAAACGTAAAAGTAGAGAGTCGGCCGACGGACTCGATTACAATACTTCCTTTGCTTACGCTCGGGAAGTAAAAACACAAAAAAAGAAACCTAACACAAGGCGTGTTTTTTTTTGCACAAAATCTCAGATATTTTGACTCAGTTCGAAGCGTCTTAGTAGAATGTAGCGTTCTTTTAGATTTGACTCACATGAAGTGGAGTGAGATTTTTACCTCCCCCTTTACCGATGAAGGACTACCAGCGAAGGGTCGGCAGTTATCTGAGAATTGATTCAGTTAAGGAAAGGGGGTAAAATTTGACGGATTGACGTTAACATTCATTGTATGTAATAGAATTGGAGGGGACCCAAAGGTTTTCATTACGAACTGAAATTAAGAAATTTAAATCAACTTTCCATCATAAGGATGAGAGAAAATAAATTTTATGAATTACACCTTTTTGTGATCCATACTTACCTGTCTTTAATGCATTGCTGTTCCGCTCAATTTTAAAAATTTTTTGTAACTTAAAACGATCAGCTGATGGTAAACAAAAGTTCAAACGTCACTTGAAATGTAGGGTTATGTTTGAGCTGCTTTGAACATTGTTCTTTTTATTCATACAACTGAGAAGAATGAGTGTTGAGCTGAGCGACTCAGATCAGATATATTTCTCAGTTGCAAAAAGAACACTATTACTATCTCCAGAAATGGTAAAGCCAGAGCTTACTGTTTTCAAGACTGCCGAAGCACTTACACATGTTCTACTTGATAAACATAAAAAAATTGGTCTAAAGATATTTAGACACATTTTCCGTCGCTCCTGAAATATAGGTGAACAAAGCAAATTCTTAGAAGTTTTTTTTCTTTTTATGATAATCCCTATAAGTTAAATTAAAGATATACATATGTGGACTTTAAGTATAGGTAAAAGTATGTTTTAAGTGAGTTGTTCGTCGCCAAAATTTTATGATGAGTTCGTTAACATTTTAGCAAGGGCACATATCAATTTGTGGAAAAATGGTAAGAGCTATGAAGAAATGAGACCGAAACTCTGGAGGGTGAACCGTTTTTGATTTCTTGAATAAAATATATTGCCTCATTCATTATCTTTTTTTAATCACACGAATAATAATTGTAAAAAACACGAATGCATTGGTAAACCACAAGTAGACACTAATATTTTGCATATTTTTAGACATGATTTATTCGGCAGATTTTGAGATGACGTCATCAGTTTTTTGGGGGTGATAAGCGTATGTATGCTTAGACAACCTTAAAAAGTGTACAAGATTTCAAAGCATTTAGTTTTGCATTTTCAAAATGTTATGCAAATTCGATTTTTTTTTTTCAAAAATCTTACAGTGATTTAATTGGTTTGTGGATGTGCGTTTACGGGTACGGTTTTTTTATGTGTTAAGAAATACCTGCTGATGCGTTTGTTCGAAATATGCACAATCTTATTAACGTTTGACCTTTGTTTTAAATCAAGTAGGCATGTCAGTCATACCAACCTAAGAGATTAAAACTCACTAGTTGTTTTTTTTTGTACCTACATACTTTGAAATATATGTATATTATGGTTTAAATTCAGTGTTGTTCGCAGCATAGAGTACACTGCCCAGAGTGTTGAAGATTTGTTTTCTGTGGAAATGTGCTTAATGTAGGCGGTGATAAGATTTTCGGTGAAGGTTTCTACATTATTTTTAAGTGACCAATCCATGAATTTTTTGTCGGCCAATTCATACTCGTATTTGCCATTTGATCTTTCGGGTAACAGGGTTTCGTAATTTCCGGCGTTGTACAGGTTTAACATAAAGTCACTTGACTCGGAATCATATTTTTTTTACGGAGATAAGGTAAATTCGGGAAAGAAGCGTTGTGAGATGTAGCCAATATTATTAGGAGGTTTTAATATAATGACTTTATTGTAGTATCTGAATATTAATTCTTACTTGATCAGGAAGGGAATATAATTATAAATCCATACGAGACTTTGCCTTTAAATCAAGATACGACATCTGAAAGAAGTCAATTTACTCTAAGTTACTTTATTTAGCCCTCGCCTTTCTTATGTTAAAATTACAAATACTTTGGTTGGTTGGTTGGTTGATTACATATCAATTCTTGTGAAAATATGAATTCATATACTTTCAGTTGATGCGATTGCATAGATTTTCATTCAATATGCAATTTAGAAAAGTATGAATATACATTTGGGAGTAGAAAAAAATATCGCGCAAGCAGTTAACTGGTATAGAGTCGTCGAAACCAAATTGATGCTCTCTTCGATCTCTTTCCTATGAGTCGAAATCCACCATACTCTCAACATTCCAAATATCTTCCGAGAAGATCCAAACAAATCCAAACATTTTGACTCTCAACAGACCAAAGAAATAAAACCCGTTCACTTCAAAATGGCAATTAAGGTCCAAGTACATTTCCCAAAACTTGTAGCAATGAAAAATGCTTTTCGATTTTTTTTTTGTAAAGGAACAAAACCTTTGCCATGTCCATCACAACCGAAACAATATTACCCTTCAATACAACTAAATGACTTCCCTATTAACTTTTAACCGTTAGAAGTTTTTAGTTGGTTATGCTTTCGTGGACTTTTCTTTTTGTTGGTTTTGTTTTTGTTTATAATTTATGATTTTCTTATTAAATGTTTTTATTTTCAAACGTCATATAACTGACACTTATATGACGGTCTTACCGGGGTTTAAGTCTCATTTCTATGACAGCGTTTTTGAGCGGCGTATAAATAAAACTTATACTCCGCCGGAGTATAACTAAAATACTTATACTCCGCCGGAGCATAAATAAAATATTACATGACAATCAAAAATCTGAAGTGAATAAATTTATTATGAATGTTGGATATATTTATTATTGTCAAATTAAACTTTAATTACATCAAGCATTGAGTATGTACAATCAATGCATTAAAGTACAGGCAAATCTAAAAACTATTTATTAAAATTAAAAGTGCAGTTATATAACGTACTATTTTGAAAAAATCCACTTTTACCGGCACTTTAAATTATCTTCAAAAACTGGTATAGGCCCAACGACATTTCGGAGCAGCGATGGGTTACATAAGTTGGGTTTGAGGTCGTTTGGACAATCAAATTTTTCGCAGATGTTTTACTATCAGGAATTTTGACGTAAATTATGGAACCATGATCTTCAATATCTTGCACTTTCATTTTTACTAGTTCGTCACATCTGCAAGTTCCGGAAATTCCAAATAATAGCACAATCTGAAAAAAATGTTTTTTCTTAGATGGGTAAAATACTTTTTGATCCACTTACTTTAGTTCCCAAATATTTTTCATCCGGTGCTTTTGCTAAGAAGGTAAGAAATTGATGCTTTGTTAGAACGGCCGACTTCTTAGCTTGATAATTTTCCCGCTGATGCTTTTTCAGAAAAGCACGAAGATTAAAATATTTTGAAATGTCCACTTTTTCTCTAATATGAAGTAGGGATCTCACCATTGAGTAATGGCTCCATAATGAAGAACTCTTCATTTTCTTAACATTTGCGAGTTCAACAAAATAACTCAACACTGCATTCTCTGAATACTTCTTGATATTTCTTTCTTTACAATACTTTAAAAATCTTGCGTATGACGCTTCGTATATGGAGGCTGATTTTGTAGGTAGAAGGCTTTCTACCGCCGTTTGTGCTCCAGCTACGACGTCTGGTGGCGTGGAGGCTATTTCCACGTTCTCGTCGCTCATAATAATTTTTAAATAGCTTCAAAAACGCAAAGATAAACCAAAAATTTTTTTTTTGGCTTGTTTATTATTTTCATAACCGTGTTGTCAACCATAGTAACCATGGTAAGTCAACACAAGGCTACTTAATAATTTCAGATTATTTTTTTAATGAAGCAACAAGATAGGAAATAAACGTTTCAAAAGAAGATTAATCGTTTGAAAATAAAATATTGTATTTCATTCGGAGTTTAAGTGACTTTATGTGACTCGTATGGACTTAATTCGCCTCGCTATCGCTCGGCGTTTAATCGTCCATACTCCGTCACATAAAGTATCACTTAAACTCCTAATAAAATAAATATCTATTTTTAATTGATTTATTTATTAGTGAAAAATAACAACTTTTTTTATTAATAATAATAATTAATGACTACTGGTTGCTTATGGATATTCTCCTAAAAAATAAATAAAAAAAGGTGGATTCAGTTCCAATCGTTACATCAGAAAGTAAGCCGAAGTATTCACGCATTATGTAGATGTAGTGTTGTCAAATTTACTTTGATAAAAGTGCGTTTTTTTGTAATCTAAGTCATAAAGAATTTTTCATAATTTTTTTTTTTTTGAATCCCGAACATAACATATTGAAGAAGATCCGCCTTTTCCGGACACTCGATATAAACTTTTTGTAAGCAAATTAACGAGTTGATAGATTCTTAGATAAATAAGTTTATTTTTTCAAAATCAAAGGCACTGTTACTTTTAAAATAAAGATTAAAATGAGAAATTTTATATATGTATATAGTTCAACACAAGATATATTTTGATCTGTCGTATTAAAAAAATATTGGAATTGGTCGTACATAGTTACTTTATCTAATGACAGTTTAATAGATCCAATTTCACTTTAACATTTGGATTAAAAAATCCTATGATCTTAGGCGGTACACGTTTAGTAAATGTTATATGCACTTCTTAAAAATAACATTGTACCAATATTAAACAGTTTTTAGCAGTATATCGAGGACTTATATTATAACGTAAGACACCAAAGAGTAATTCATTTACAGTCGTGAAACTACGTCATTTGTTACTACGACGACGGTATTGTGCTGTCAGTTTTTTTTTATAGAAGTAGATAGCTTTATTTTTTTGGTTGAAACTTTGCTGTATAGCGCTTGTAAAAATTTTAGGGCCGGTTGCATAAACGCAAATCAAATTTAATCTCTGATTAACTCTATAGTAACGATTGTTATTATCATAGTTACAATTGTTCTTAATCAGAGATTAAATTTGATTTGCGTTTATGCAACCGGCCCTTAATATATCATATGATAATTTACTGTATTTGGTGTATTACTTTATGACTACCCTCGGTATATTACAAAAATTGGTTAAAACAAGGGTACCTATTAATATAATTTCATGAAGCTGTTTACTCATTGTACAGATTTTTATTTGAAATTATTTACTATTTCCAGTGATCGTAAAACTCGCTATGAACACATTTATTATTGTAACTAAGAATATACCGACTACAACGTAATTATTTATTCTTTTTGCGTTTGCATGTTTCGATTCGCCTTTCAAGTCGTATTTACCTTTAAATATTAAAGACACCCCCACTCCCACCTGTAAAACTAAAGAAATTACAATTAAACACAAATTTAAATAATAGGTTGAGCTGTTGCGATTGAATTCAATTATGTAGCGCAGTTGGTTGGCATTTGCTGTTATCAGAGCTATATCCATCATTCCTGAAAAAAAGATTTCATTAATAATTTTCTACGTGCGGAAAAGTGGTGTTAATGGAATTATAAATATACAAAAAGGGGCGTAAAGGCTTGAAAGCAGATTGTTTAATGTAATTTGTTGCAACTCAGTCCTTTCATTTATTAATTAGACAAAAGCTATTATAACGCTTTGAGAATTTACTGCTGAACTTTATATTGTTAATGCTTACCTTGAGCTACGGTTTTCTTTGCGGCGTAGCTGTTAGCCTGTTTTGTAGGAATATTTGTATCAACGACGTCTTCCCCATTTTCTTGCATTTGCTCTTGGGTTTCAAGCTCATTGTGAAGTTTGTTATCTAAAAATCACGGAAAGATTGAAAAAAACAACGCTGACGCCTTTAAACTCATTCAAATAAGGGAATTCATTGTTAGTATGCTTTTTAATGTACATTATTTTAGTAATAACTACACCGTTACAACAATAAATAAAATTTAATGATAACAATAATGAATACAAATTAATGTTGACCATTAGATATTATTAACTGAAAAAAACAAAACAAAATATCATTCCAATTTAAAGTATCTTACATTTTTTCATTATTTTTAAACCATCATCTTATTTTTATCTCTCGTATTTTTAAAACTTAAAACCCCAGTTTTTAAAAGTCTTTTCTCTTGTAAGGTCATTTCCGTTCTATCCAACTTTCGGAACTTAATTATTTAAAAATTCAACCTCTTCTCTTGCACCATATAGAGGCGCTCCGTCATGTTGGAAGACAACTAGACCAATCATCATAATTAACATATCTACATATTTTTGCTCGTTAAGACTCTCTACAATAAAAAATGGTCCTATTACTTGATTTTCCCACATCCACAACCAACCGTTTACTTTAGCAGGCCATTGAGTATGAGTTTCCCGAATTATGTAAGGTTTTTCTCGAGACCAAATTCTGCAATTTTGTTTTTTTATCACACTGTCGTTAATATTAAATATAGATTCGTTCGAAAATTAAATAGAATTTAAAATATTTACATGTTCATTGATTTTGTTCACTCACAAAGGAAAACTTCTCTTCAAAATTAAAAAATTTAAAACTCCTAATGTTCTTCATACTGATAACAGGACCTTATGTACATATTCTAATGCGATTCGCGATTGCATTCCATTTATCTGAAATGCTTTGTGTCATTCTTCCCGATTGTTTGACAAAGTCTTGTTGATTTCTTTGGTCATGATTCCGCAAATAGCCGCTATTGGGTTCAGATTCTGACTTCTGGCTGGCCAAGGCAGTGTCGGTATCTTATTAGCTTTCAAAAAATTTCTAGCAAAATGTGGTGTAAGAATTCTGCAGTTGCAGGGCTTCCAGCGGGCAACTTTTTTTTTACTATTTTTACCTTTTTGAAAGTTTTTTACTTTTATTTACTTTAGTTTACATTACTCACAGAATTTTCAGGTGTATGGCTAGTCAGATCAGAATCCATTTCCGGATCAAATTCATCTGTTCTACGAGTTAAAGCTCTGATTGAGTCATTATTTTCACTAGCAGTACCAGGCTCGCACGTACTGCAAAAAGTTGTGCGGGAAAATTTCACGAAAAACTCTGATGAATCAAACTGTCAACGGAATTCCGGACGTCATACTAATCTTTATATTAGTCGGCCATGGTCATACAAAGTAGGAGCTGACATAAAACTTGTGCAGCTGTCTGTGTTTTTGTTCGCAACAATAATAATCCAGCAATAACGCATACCTTATCAAAAGAGTTTTTTGCTGAAACAAAAGACGAGCTCTAATAAATCCGTTTCGTCTTTTGAAACCTACGACGCTTAAAAAAGTACCTGTAACCAACTTATGCCCGTTTGCACCAGTTTCCCTTAAACTTTAAACGGTTTAAATTTTGCGCTTAAGTTTTATGTACGTTGCACCAGATCGCTTAATAGAGTTAAGGGTCCCTTAATGAAATAATAGTTAAGGGAAAGATAAACCATCGCTAAATTACTATTTACGCTTAACTTGCAGTTTGACATCTATCGATCTGTAACATTTTTGTCAGTTCTTACAGGTTCAGGTTGTAAAAATGGAGTTTGATGGTAACGAAGAACTCGAACACCTTGCAGTTTTGGATTTTTTAAATCGTGGTATACCTCGTACCGTTTATCAAAGACAAAACTTCTTTGACGTAATGGACGAAATAAGTTTTCGAAAACGGTTCCGTTTATCTCGTCAAAGCGTTTTGCAAGTTTTTATGATGATTGACGAAGAAATTGAGTTCCCGTACGATATGTTGGTATTTATTTTGGTGTGGTCTACTTATGAATAAAAAAACGTCCCCGCATATACAAATTCTTTGCAGAAACAATGCGGTTTTGCCAATGAACCAGTTACTTCTTTGTCTGCGTTATTATTCTACCGGTGGCCATCTGCAAGCTATTGCAGATTTTTCAGGAACTCATGTATCTACAGCTTGCAGGATCGTGAAGAGGGTAACTGAAGTAGTTCCTCGTCACAGTAGAGAGTTTATAAAGTTTGAAACGGACCAACATTTTATGAAAAAGCGTCAACAATTTTTTTTTGAAATCGCGTCGTTCCCTCGCGTTTCTGGTGCTATAGATTGTGTGTAAAGGATAATTTTTTTGTAGGCGATAGTGGTTATGGGATTAAAAATTATCTTTTTACTCCACTTTTGAACCCTATCACGGAAGCGGAACAGTTGTATAACGAAAGTCATACAAGTACCAGAAACGTGATTCAACGATGCTTTGGCGTTTTAAAGCGATGATTTCCGGTTTTGGCCTATGGTTGTCGTTTAAAAGTAGACACCACATTGCAAATAATTGTAGACGCAACCGTACTGCACAATATTGCCATAAACATGGGTGAAGAACAGCCACCTCCTTTGCCTGAAGAGTTGGAGGAACATATTTTGGAGCAGCTAATAAACGAAGGACAAATACCACCAATTGTTGTATTAATTCCATTTGAATTTGAGAAATTGTTTGGCGAGTGCCAGCCATGTCCTCATATGCGCGGGCAATATTCGCGATTGTATTGTTTAATACACTTGGTCTACGTCTGGTCTTCCAGTCCCTCTTTTTATCATTTTTTCCCCGCGTAATATTTAAATGTTCATTTACAGGTTGTTGCAATATTTGAGCACTGAATGAACCCCAGTTGTCTATATTTCTGGCCTATATAACAAAACAATAATAGTGAAATTATATATTAAAATTATGTCTAGAACAAATTTACATTCTCCTCCTGGAGTGGAATATTCGTTCTCAAACTGACGTCATCGTTCTGACCAGAAGATGTTCCAGGCAACAAGTTCTGAGACAAATTTGAATTCTTATTTTGGGCTACAACATTCGTTTTCAAACCTACGTCATCATTAAAACTAGAAGATGTATCAGGTAAAAATAATGAATTATTATCGCTCAAGACATTCTCGTTGAGACCAGGTGACAACCTAGTGAGGTCCATGCTATCTTCGTCCGCGTCCATGTCGTACGGATTTTTTAACCCAAAAACGCTTTTCTTGTTTAAAATTTCCAGTGTTTTGTCCTGGACCACATCACTCCTGCAGCTGTTGTTTCCATGATGTGGACCAGGACCACCGCTAGTTTTCCTGATATGCGGTTTTTCACAAGCTGCATTTTTGCGTGTCTCGTTTTACGGCATTAACGGCTCTGGAGTTAAATTTTTCTCTAATATCCTCCCACGCTTCCTCTTTTTGCCTTCATGTGACACCATCTGTTTTTTTGCATTCAATGATATGTTTCGCCTTGGATATGAAATCCAGGCAGTGAATCTTTTCTTCCTGCGTAAAATTTGGTGCCCTCTTTCGCTTTTTCTCATCCCTGTTCATTTTTGAGGGTTAAAACTTCAAATCTGATTGACTGTGACCTATCTGATATTGCGAAATTTATTTCATAAAACGCTGTTGCCATATTAACACTCAACATAAACTCCGCTCTACTAAGCGATCAGTGATGCAATAGAACAGTCAGTTAAGGGACAGTTAATCTTAAGGGAGGCTTAGTTAAGCGAAATATTTAAGGGAAACTGGTGCAAACGGGCATTATTGTCTTAATAGCTATAAAATGTCCGTCTGTTGTTTAAGTTTGTATGTCGTGTGTCTGCTAAACCAGTAAATGAAATCATAAAACAATATCAAAAGAAAAATCTTCGTTAATACAATTATTAATGGCTTTTAAATAACACCGTTGATTGCTAGAACTAAATAAATACGTCGTGAATTTGCCGAGGAAATACTGTAATAGAATGATTTTGAGGGATGTCTAATTTAACTTTTGCATATTGTATGAATGATAGTGTTGGTCTTTCGGCGTTTTTAATTAAATATTTCACATAATTTCCGACATTTATTTTCTATCTGAAAATTGTCATTAAAACCGCTATTAATTTCTTGATCATATTAAGGTTGAATTTATAACTTCTTTAAATTTTTGAAGTTGTTGCGTGAGGTTTAAGTAATGGTTTGTCCTTCCCCTGCTAAACTTACAACCTGAACTTCGTTGTCTTCCTGTGTCACCAGTCCTTTGCATTGAAAACGGTGTCTCCTTCAGACCTTTAATTTAGCAAAGCGTTACGGGAATAAGATGTTTTGCAAGCAGAACCACCCTACTGTTTCGAACGAAAGACTGTTTATATTGTCAAAGTTTAAAGGGAATAAAATCAGAAAATGCTGAATTAGGAGACCAGGAGAACCATAATAAACTGGTGTGAGTAGACGGTTATCGAAAATAGAAGCCAGAAATAACAAAATTAATTTTTCTGTACTTCAGTTTTTTATGAAATTAGGCCGAATGCCGTCTTTACTTTTTATAACCAGCATCAACAAATTAAAAATTGTACAACGTGAACGAGTTTATTCGTGATGAAAAACAAAACTCTATTGATGTGAACATTTTGTGCGCCTGTAGAATGAACAAAATTGGAAATAATTTCTGGCTAACTGGAACTTTTTTATCACTCGCATAGATTGGTTATTAGTTTTATCACAAAATGTACCATTACCCACAACGTCAAATTTGCATAAATTAAATAGCGACGTTAAATAGTAAAATAACACGTTTGAAGCTGCAAACCCAGATAACGGTATAATTAGAATTAAAATGCACCAGGGCTTAACATTGTTGTGGTTTTATCGGAACGTGTGTTTAATTTGAAATTAAATTTATTTTGGCGTGTATTATCTCCAAAAACATTTTGAATTACTTCCGCTATTGACTCGCTAATGAATTGATCAGATTAATTTCGCGGAATACACGGATATGGTTTTATTTAACATGCATCAATGATAAACAACAAATTTATGGAATAATGGTAAGAACATGCAGAAATTTATTTATTAATATAATAATTATTAATTACATTGTACAGACTGTACCAAAATTCGCCCCATTCCAATGAATGGTATGTTGCGTATCACGAACAGGGCGTTAATTCGTAAAAAAGCTTTAACCGCTTTAACTGGAAGGCGATTAAATTCATTAATAAAGAAGCTGCTTTCATATGCCACCGATTTAATGTTCGAAGATACCAATGCCAACAAGAAAAAATCTTGTAATGATGAAGTTGAATCAATTTTTTCGAACCCCCCTTCGTCAATAAACGGTAACAAAAATGTGGGTCTAAATTTAATAATTTTGACAACCGTTCGTTATAAGCTCTCACGAAATTTGATGATTGACCTGAACAGACGCCGCTGCACCAAAAATGACTAATTAAAGATATAGGAAAGTTATTGTTGACTTTCAGGCAAATCGAATGAGGTAGAGCCAAATTGTATTTCAATGTTTACAGTACATTCATTATTATGGTTTATTTTCAAAATAAGCATATTTTTAAATGCTACTTACTGCCTATGAATATATTTAAAATTTGGTTCCAAAAAGATCACTATTAATTGTTCATAACGGTTAAGCAACTATAAATGTACTTTTTCAGTTTTTAGCAAATTGTTTTACATTACTTTCGATTATTTTTATTTGCCGAGCGTAAATTAAGGAAGAATTGTAACGGAGTCCATCGGACGACTAGCTACTTTCATGTTGTCTCGACGTTTCATAGCTCTTAGAGTATGAAAAAAATAGATCTCCCGTTTCCGTCTGTCCACTTGTGTGTATGTATGCCTGTCTACCTGCCGTCTATTCGGAATTTTATTGGACAGATAATCTCTGAAACTCCTGAACCAATTGTTGTTAAATTTTGTATATGAGCAATATCATAGAGATGATAAAATGCTAACTAGAATTTGCGAACAACAACGTGATGACATTCCTTCAAAATTTTGTACAATAAACACCCTTAAATTATTATTAAGACCCACCACTGACCCGGAAATGACCGGCATTCAGGCAAGACTTCTATCATTACGGGTACTAAGACCAAGTAATGATATGCATTGATTAGATTAACAGAACAACTTTCGAGATTCTAGAATTACAGCATACAAATTAGTCTGCTATTATTCTCTAATCTCACCCCATCCCCAAAAGTCCAGCGTAACTACCGACCATTTATCCGCGCATCACATGAAAAGTGACCTACACTACTCTGACCTACTGGTGCTAATCTAATCTGACTGACATGATCAGACTGTTCAAGAAACTTACGAACAATATGACATGTTCCTAACAAAACAGCTTTTTGAATTTTGACAATTATTGAATCATTCAAATGCAAAGACTTTAAATTCTCAACTAAGCTATTTGGAACTACACCTACATTAGAGATAACTAGGGGTAGAATTGAAATTTTTTTAAGATTCAACATGGATTTCATTTCTATCGATAATTGTAGATATTTTGAAATCTTGGTGTCGTATGTTTGAATAATGTTGTTTGTGTTAGGAATAGCAATGTCAATGAGAATGGCTTCGTTCGTGTGTTTTTTGATAAGTATGATGTCTGGTCTGTTAGCTGTAATGTTTAAGTCTGTAAGTATTGTGCGATCCCAGTATAATTTGTATTTGTTATTTTCAAGGAATGGAGACGGAATGTAAGTGTAATATGGTGTCGTATCTTCGATTAAGTTCATAAGTGTTGCTAATTCTTTGTGAATGATTTTGGCTGCGTTGTCGTGTCTAGCTTTGTAATCAGTTTGTGCTAGGATGCTGCAAGAAGAGATTATGTGCTGGATCGTTTCAGGTTTTGCTTTGCATAGGCGACAGCAGTCGTTTTTTATGTTCGGATCTTTGATGATGTATTTTCTATAATTCTTGGTATTGATTACTTGGTCTTGAATAGCAAACACAAATCCTTCTGTTTCGGCATACAAACTTGATTTTTTTTAACCAAATCAATGACATCTTCTTATTGACATGATTTTCTTCTAAGTCTTTGTAGAATTTTCCATGCAGTTGTTTTTGTTTTAGCCCACTTATTATTTTATCTATTGTTTGGGGGGTGTGGATTTCTTCGGTGTTCGACAGATTTAAGGGTGTGTGGTTCAAATCTGCTCTTGTGATGGTGCGAAACATTTCATTTCTTTCCGCTCGTTTCAAGAAATACTTCTTCAAATCTGAGATTTGTCTCTGATATAAGTTTTCTAAGTTCTGGAAACCCCTTCCTCCATTCTGTCTTGGTAATGAGAATCTTTCAATCGACGATTTTGGGTGATGCCTTCTATACTGTGTGAAGATTTTCCTTGTTGCGATGTTTAAATTTTCAAGATCAGTTTTGGACCATTTAATGACTCCAAAAGAATATGTTAGCAGTGGAACGCAGAATGTATTTACTGCTTTCATTAAATTTTTTCCATTTAACTGTGTCTTCAATATTAATTTTAATCTCGCTACGTATTGATCTTTCAACTGTGTTTTCGTTTTGGTATGATTTATGTGGGAGGATTGACAGAAACCCAGATATTTGTATGTATCGTTTCGTTCTTGGGCTTCAATTATTTCCTTATTCTGTGTTATATGTGGTACTTGGTGAAACACGCCTTTTCTGATTGCTTGGGTCTTACATTTCTCAATACCAAAGGACATACCGATATCACCGGAAAATTGTTCAGTCATTATTATTATTATTATTATTAATATTATTATTATTATTCAATTACGTCCCCCAACAGGCACCGAGGCCCAATTACAGGGGAACGGGACATACACATAAATTACATAAAATAGTATACTCTTACATTTGTGCCACCCTGTTTTTGTTTATTATTATTATTATTGCTTTTGTTTAAACCTTCTACGTCTTCAGTAACATAATCCGTAGCCATGCAAACCTACCTAACGGTTATGTGCTGGGAAGGTTTGCTTTGTAGACGAAAGTTTGATACCCCAACGTTTCGATCTTTTTTTTAATCAAGTCAAGAATGGTTCACAATTTTCTCGAAAATTTAAGAATACAGTAATGTCGCACCCGTGTATATTTCAAAGGAATAAAATAATTATAATAACAATGATCGTAATAATAACACCTCACCCAAAATAACATTCGGAGCCAATTCGTTCATTGTAGCTTAATTAATTAATCAGTGCTCTCTGTTTTAAGGAGACAAAATCAATCAAATTTCATTTTCTGAAGGTGCCCAATATCGAATTCTTTCGAAGTATAAGCAAAAACACACGAAGTTAAGCATGGTTTTTGAGAGTAATTTTTTCCGGTGTAGTATCGACTCTATATTTTATGTTGCCCGCACTTATGCGGACTACACCCCTCTGGTGTGTGATTTACGCCATTGGATTTTAGTTTATAGAGGTTGCCACAAAACTCGCAAATTTAAAATTCATGCAAATGATAAGTACATAAGTTATTTTGATTTGCACATATGACACATTTGTAAGTCTTGTAAAACAATTGTCCTTCAGGTTATGTTTTAACGTCGAACTGCAGTCAGTAATTGTATGCTTTAGTGCGCCTGAGGTCAACATGGAACTTTGTTTTGAAATAATTTTGATATTTCGAACAACATGCGCTAATCTAGTTTTGAACATTGAATAGTTTCAAGTTTTAATTGTACATGATCTGATTTTATGGCCGGAACTACTTCTAAATAAATTGAAACACGTGGATTCCTCAATAAATACTGAGAGTAACTTTCGCCCTCTTGTATGATTTAGTATGCCATCTTCGACTAACATTTTGCATACACTGCATATATAATGCAATATATACAAATTTTGATTTCGCAAGCTGATACTAGGCTACAAAAAGAGTCTACCGAAATTTTTTCAATTTTGCGAGTATGTTAGTAGTTAGTTTGATTTCCGTATTTGGTGGAAACACTAACACAAATGAAAATGTGAAATAATTATGGAACTATGAATTTAACAGATCTGTGACAATAGCAAAAATGATGAATCGGAGAACGTTTAAAGAAGAATGGTCGTATTTTTTGTGTTGTTTCTCTTATTTTTTCGAATTATATTATCATAGAAGCTATTCATAACTTGGCTACTCCTATAGCAAGGCGAGTAAAAGGATTACTTCGCAATTCAATTCAAGCATTTTTAGAAAATACTAAAATTTAAATTGTATTTTTACGCAACAAGTCTTTTACTTGATTGAAAATTGATGTTTTGTAAAACCCATATCTAAGTTATGCATGCAGGGTCTTTGCTTCACGTGACTGAACTCGTAACGAAAAAATACCTATTATTAGTAGTAAAATGGCCTGCTGAACTTACCTTTTTTGTTTTCCGTGAATGTTAAATTGTTCATTTCCTTCCTTTCGATGTCAAGTTCGATGGCTATTGATGTTTCTGAAACACGTGTATGCAATTAGATTTCCCAAATGCTTGTTTTGCTCTGTACTAATATTATAGTCTAGTTACGCCAGTTAACGTATATCTCAAGTAAATATGCGTGTGAAAATGTTACCAGTAATTAATAGGTTTAGGCTACCTTCATTACGTTGACTGAGATTATCGTTTTCATCATTGTGAACATGTTTTGTAGACATTTCACTGTCTGGTCTCATTTTAATTTTATTGTAATTTACATCTGGTCGAGGAATGACGTATTTGCACAAATTATAGTGAAGAACTAAATACTGGTTTTAGATACGGATATAACAACCTAATAAGACCGATAAGAATGCATGCGGTCTCCACAACAGGAAGTTTTTGTTGTTCTATTTGATAATAAAGAAACCACAAAAGGTAATTTTTACAAATGCGATTAAGTACAAATATATTTACTTTTTGGCAGTATAAAACTTTGTGTAAGTCCGTATATTTTTTAACAACACAACAAAATTACAAGGTACATACAAACTGGACGTTTTCGGTTAGTTATATTTAATTTGAATGTGTACGCCATGATTTACATAGTGAGTAAGTTTAAAATGCGGTCGCCAGCTCAACAGACGTGAAATAATTCAATCAGAATATAAAATAGGGTGTATACCCAGTATGAAGCGTATTTTAAATTAAGTGTGAAGGGAGATTTTGTTTCCGCAGAAAATTTCATTATCTTCGTAGGTACTTGCAAGAATTATTATAGAAGAGACTTTGAATTCTTATTATAAGAAATATTTTGATAGACTTGAACTACGTTAATGCATGGCGTAACGAATTAGCAAAATTTTAAACAAAACTCGTTAAGGATTGATGCAAGTTAAGTTATCGTTTTCTGGATGAGCGATTTTTTAACATTTCCACTTTATTTAACACATATTAAGATTTATTTGATTAACATTATATTATTTCGATTATTTTACATCGTTTTAGGAGTCTGCAATATTGAGAACTATTTTATGTGCGTGTGAAGTTTAAAAAAAGAATAATAATAAAAATAGTGTTAATGGGGCATCAATGACCCACTTAAGAACACTTTCTAAAATTTTTGAATGCAACCGGACGCCTTTTTGCAGAAAATAATTATATCTATAAGATGACGGACATGAAAAAAAAAAGGTTGAGAAAATTCCTTTTGTTTAAAAAAAAATTACGATATGAGGATATGACTGTTCACAATCAGTAACTACTGAAGTTTTAAGGTTTCGTTTAAGTGTATAAAACCCATAAGCAATTCATTTTATATGAGAGCATTCGCGGCTGTATTGTTAATTATTAAAAAGGTACCGATTTTATGCACAAGGCGCTACATGAATCTGTAAAGGTCTTATAAAATCTTCATCATTCCACGTCTATTCCTGTTTAAATGAAATTTGAGTGTAAATACTAGTTTTTCTTAAATTTTCTCTTGTTTACCACATTATTTTCTAGAATTTATCTAATCTTTGGTTTTAGTTTTTTTAAAGGTAATGCAACTTAACACGACTCACTCTAACAATGTAATATTTAGGTATTATATATACCAATGTTTTTAAATTTCCTCAAAGAATATCGTTCCATGTATGTTTAGTATGTTATCTGCACAAAAAATGTAGTTAAATTTCTAGCAAAGAAGTTTTGTGTGCTTGAGGTAATTTTTTTTAACTATACTGATTTTGTGGAGCATATATATTAATTATTGAAATGATTAATTTGTGTGTTGTTGAGACAGTGACCTATTTCAAGAATTCCTTTCTACTTCCCGAGCGTCAGCGAAGATAATCTCCGAAAATACTGGGTCGATTGTTGTCAAATTTTGTATTTATATTAGGAATATCATGTAGATGGTAAAACGCTAACCAAAATTTGTCTAATCATTCCCACCAACAACGTGATGACATCTCCGCAAAATTGTGTATGATTAATGTATCTTAAAATTTATAAAATATTATACTCCCACATTTGTGTTTTGTGAATCCACCGTGCTTTTTTTTATTATTGTCATTATGATTATTATGCTCAGCATCACTGTTCTTTTACGGCATAATACGTTGCCTAGTAATACCTGAAAATGGCTCAGCCATATGAGTAGCTGCTTTGCAAACACAAGACCCGGTTACCATTCTCGGCCTTTCCAACTTTTTTTTCCTCCAAATCAGAAAAAGCACATCCCATTTGCACAATGTGAGAATACATTAATAGAATAGATGACTATTATTATTACACTGTAGTTTATCCATGTGCTTTACAACGCATTCATATTTTTCCATTATTGTTGGTACGATACATCAATATCACTGGATATAATAAACAAAACTAAACTATGATTCATTAATGAATGCATAAAAAAGTATCTCCTGCAACCTTGGCAAGAGTAACGTGTAACATCAGTGCTTATCGGCGGAGTAACCGTGGCGTTGCGCCCAGACATGAACAAACGTGATGTGGATATTGTAGCCTAGCGAAGTAAAGTGTGTTACATCACTGAATGTTGAACAAAAATGTGGTCTAGGGTTACTTATACACAACTTCCGTCGCCCTTGAAATACAGTCCAACAAGTACAGAGGTTAGCTTTGTCTAGATAATGTCAACATGGTTGGCGAAACGCGTCGACAAATATTTTGTATTTTCGGTGTTGTGGGAATGAACGTTCTATAAAATACAAAATATTCGAAAAATTATAAAATTTAATTTTGCGAATTTTATTTTTACTTCCTGAGCGTAAGCAAAGAAAGTATTGTAATAAATTATTAAATAGGAGCGTCTTAAAATGATTCTTAAACTGGACCGATGTTGGATTAATATTACGTCCTCCTTGTTGCCTGACCTGTCCAAAAAAATTTTCAAGCGGGTCTTGATTAAATACTCTGGTTTTCACAAACATAATTCCCCCATTTTTCAATTTTAATACTATTGCTTCGAAACCATTTAAAGTAATGATCCAATTTTTTAAACTTGGTGGTGTAAATTTCTTGCCATTCCTTTCAAAATACATTTGCCCAATATATTTTCTTGGGTTTTGCCAAAAGTCTAGGTGTTTTGATCCCTGCGTAAGTGCACATCTTAGAAAATCCCCTCTTCGTAGATTTAACGAGCGCCTGTTTACACTGTCGAACAGGTCATTACAAAATTTCAATATTTTGGCTGTTCCAGAACCATTTTTTAGTGACTTGTCAAACCTTGATAACAATGATATTACAGAAGATACTGTGTGACTTAATACTTGGGCTGCACATGACACTTTCATCTTCTTTATCTTCTTGGGATTTACATGATGAACTTAGGCATCATTCTTAGTTCCACTGAGCAGTTGTCAATCTCATATGCTATTTGTATTGTTGACCAATCTGCTGTAAATTTTTCATTATGATGTTCCAAACTAAATTATATTTTAATAAATTATTTCGAATTCCCTTCAATAAGTGGGGAGGATCATATACAGGATGATGAAAAAAAGGCGCCGACGATTTTAACTAAAATATCCTTTTCTGTTAAAGCATCATGAAAATTGCAGCAAAAGTGCTATAAATATCTTTTCTTTTACTTTAAACCATTTTTCTAGCAGCAGAAAATGGTAATACTGCATAAATTTAATTTTCTTTTTTGTAAAATTAATAATTCACAGGTGCGTTGGTCTCCAAGAAACTGAAACTGACATCTACACAAAACAAAAACGACTGTCAAATTGCATAAATTTTATTATTTTTATAAATCTTAATTTATTTTAATTAAAAACTACAAAAACTATTAGAGCAATTGCTCGAAATGCCTGCCTTCCACTTCAATGCACAAATTTGCCCTTCTAATTAAATTTTCCTTCACTCTCTGGAGGATAGGGGCATTTATCGTTCCAATAGCTGCATTTATTCTGTCTCTTAATTCTGCTAAGCTATTTACTGGGGTAGCATATACGAGATCTTTGAGATGACCCCAAAGAAAGAAATCGCACGGATTTAGGTCTGGTGACCGAGGAGGCCATGCAATCGCACCACCTCTACCAATCGGCTCTGTATCAAAACAGCGCAGGTCAAAACAGCGCGGACGTAATAGCGCTGGGACAAAAGAGCGCATGGACAAAACAGCACAGCCCGAAACAGCGCCGAGTCAAAATAGCGTTCGATAAAACAGCGCAATACGAAAGAGCGCCTATACAAATGAGCGCGGCAACAACAGCGCAGTCATTTTAACCAGAGTATAAAAAAATTCTCAATTAATATATTTCTAATACTGCTAATATAATTACAAAAATAAATTTTAAGCAACAAACTTTAAATAATAATCTATAACTCTGCTAAAAGTGTATTTTTCCGTTTTCAGTCTGTGACGTTATATTATCGTCTTAGGTTTGCCATCGCTTTCCATAGCCGATTTTCTTATTGTATTCTTTACCAATAAAGCCTCAGTTTCAACAGGACTGGTTGCGTGATTATGTGGAGTGGTTTCCCTTTTATAAACAGCGCCCGTGATGAGTCCACCTTTACGTCCGCTTTTTGAACATCCCCAAGAAGCTAACTTGGTTTCTATCAACTCGGTATCTGTGGTCATGGTAGAAAAGAATGTTGCAATTTTTCTGTGACTTTTCGAAGTCTATTTTTGGTGACAGTCTGACAGCTATGTAATAATGCTAAATCAGTGTAGTTATCTAAAAAAGATCAAACAAACTACAATCAATCGACCGAACAGGGCCACTATTTCTACATCCATTTTTTATTACTATTACTAGTTGTCGGAGTACATGTTCACGAAATTACCTTAATTCTTCAAGTTTCTAAATTTCTAAGCATAAACGATAAAGCGCTTTTTTTGTCTCACGCTCTTTTGGCTATGCGCTTTATTATGCAACGCTCTTTTGACTATACGCTGTTTTGTCCAGCGCTATTATGTCCTGCGCTCTTCTGTCCCAGCGCTGTTACGACCGCGCTGTTTTGTTTTGCGCTGTTTTGACCTGCGCTGTTTTGACACAGAGCCCTACACCAATCCACCCATGTGGATAAGCCTCGTCGCACCAATTCCGGACTATTCTTCCAAAATGACGAGGTGTGCCGTCCATCTGCAACCACATATTCCTTAAATTAGCGAGGGGCAAATCCTCAAGCAAAACTTGAAACTCATTTTGTAAGAATTCTAAAAAATTTTCTGCATTTAGTCTTGCAGGCAATTCAAATGGCCCTAGAAGATTCATGTTAATAATGCCAGCCCAGAGATTGAGCCTAAAACGTCGTTGATGGGCACGAGGACGGACAACGAATGGTTTTCAGTTGCCCAA